GTCCATTTCAGCTCACTAATGCCAAGGATATCAATCTTAATGCATTCCATTTCCTTTTTGACAACTTCCAATTTTCCTAGATTCATACTTTGTACATTTCATGTTCCGATGATTAATGGATGTCTGCAGCTGTTTCTCTTCAATTTGAGTGGTACCACATCAGCAAATGGAGGTCTCAAAAGCTTTACCTTATTCATAGGAGTAAGGCTGGGTTTACTCAGATGATACAGCTCTTCCACAGTCCTATTTTGAGCGCCTTCTAACCTAACCAGACTATTCATAAAGTTATGCGGTAATGTGTTTCTTTGCTATTCATAAGTTTTTCCCTGGCCAATTATTTGAGTAGACAGCCTCTTCCTTCTTCCTAGTCTGTCTCAGTCTGTAAGCTGGGCTGATACCTGTGCACCATGTGCATCCCGCTGGGTTTGAAACACCAGTGGCTCAGCCTCAAACATCACCAAGGTAGGACACATCACATCACATCACATCACATCAACACATCACCATGGTAGGACAAACTGACAGACAAGTTTGTCTCCCTGTTGGAAACCTCCATATATATTAGCTGTTATTATTCTTATTATAAACAGTCTGACTCTTCTTACATATTGTTAAGACAAAAAGGTATCCAGTGCGAAAAATTTATTTAAGCCAAAACAATTTGCTAAAAAATCTGAAAGGTGAAATAATGAAAGAAAACATGAAAAAGAATGAAGTGAAAAGGAGTTATTTCCCTGAACTGATGTTTTCGTATTTTTTTGTTTTGTTTTGTTTCTTGTGTTTTTAATGAGAAGAGGAAGGCGATTGACACGGTCTAAGGAAATATCTCTAAAGCAAAATTGTCAGAACTGCCAAATCATGAACCAAAGACCAAGTATGGGACCACGGCTGATCAAATCATTCCAAGGTAAATGGAAAAGGAAAAAAGAAAAGTACTATCACCGAGTTCTCCAAATTGAGCACAGTACAAATAATATTATCCCAGACAATTTAGATGCTGAGCTACTGACTGAGATGCTAAGCTGCTGGGAAGTAGAATATTCAGAAGACTTAAGGGCATTTAAGTGGTTTAGTAGCTGGATTTCCATAACAATAGTTATATTTAAATTTGCCTATGATTGGTGAGTAGTACAAAATAAGAGCCAAGTAGAAAGTACATTATGTGCAATACTGGATTTGGAAAATTCTATATCCATTCTCACTTTTTCTTTGCTTCGAGGTCCACGTGGATCTGTCTCTTCTTTGGGGGAGGAGGTGGAGGCAGCTCTTGCTTGGACTTTTTTGTAGTTACTTGTTCTCTTATGCGAACAGTCTCCAAAAGATCTTTCTGAGGAATTTGGGACATCCCGAGCTTTGCTACAGCTTGAGTCACCTGAAATAGAAGTCAACCAAAGCATCATTTTTTTATAACAGCTTTATAAAACTCTCCCTCTCAAAGTGTACAATTCACTGGTGTAGTAGTACATTCACAGAGCTGTGCAACCATCATCACTATCGAACTCCAAATATTTTCATCACTGCAAAAGAAATCTTACACCCACTGCCAGTCACTCTGATTTCTGATACTCCCAAACCTACTTTCTCTCAATGGATTTGCCTTTTCTAGACAGATCATATAGCATGTACCATACTTTTATGCAAATAAGGCACACATTATACAGTTTTTTTGCAAATCACACAAATGCCCCCCACCCCGCATTAGCTTCCTATGCATGCTGTGTGCTTTATATGTGTGGACACGTTATTTGTGAGAAATACAGTAGTCTTTTGTGACTGGCTTCTTTCACTTAGCACAATGTTGTTAAGGTTCATCCATATTGTAGTATGTCTCAACGTGTCATTCTTTTTTTATTGTTGAACAATATTCCATTGTATAGATTTACTATATTTTGTTTATCCATTCATCAGTTGATGGACATTTGGACTGTTCACTCTTTGGCTATTACAAATACTACTACTATGAACATTCATGTAAAAACCAACGGTTTATTCTTTATCAATTAATTAAATATATTTAAGATTCCTAAATAATAGATCGGAAGGAAGGTTGGGCAATCTACTTCCGTAGTGATACTGCCTCAGAAACCCAAGGAGAGGTCACTATGAGTTAGATCTGACTCAACGGCAGTGAGAAATAATAGATACACATCTATGTGTTATCATTTACTATTACAAGTAGAAGTGTGTTCTGTAAAAAGATATGTTGAAGTCCTAACCCCAAGTACCAGTGAATGTGACTCTTGGAGGTAGGGTCTTTGCAGATGTATTCAAACATAAGGTCATAGTGCAGTAGGGTAGGCCCTAGATCAGAATGAGTGATGGCTTTACAAAAAGAGGAAGCGAGACACAGAGACAGAGAGACACAGAGGGAAGACAGTTATGTGAAGAGGGAGACGATAACTATCGTTATGTTGCCATGAACTAAGGAACACCTAGGGATAAAGCTGAAAGGGACAAGGAAAGATCTTCCACTAGAGCCTTGGTGGTGAACATGGCCCTACCGATACTCTGAATACAAAGTTCTGCCTCCAAAATTGTGAGTGAATACATTTCTGTTGTTTTACGTCACCACCACCACCACCACCACCACCAATAACAACAAAAACCCAAACTCACTACTGTCGAGTTGGTCCCAACTCATAGCGACCCCTCCTTTGGTTTCCAAGGCATTAACTCTACAGAAGCAGATTGCCCAGTCTTCCTTCCCAGGGGTGGCTGGAGAGTTTGAACCGCCAGCCTTTTGGTTAGCAGTCAAATGCCTTAGGCACTACGCCACCAGAGCTCTCGTATATGTATTAATTTGTTACAGCAGCCATAGAAAACTAATGTAGTTACCAAGAATTAAATTCCTAAATACTAATAAATCTTTAAAAGATTTATTAAAATTTATTTTAGAAAACTGAAGATTTTCACATGTCAAGTTTTTGATTTTATGGAATCCAGGTATAAGAATCAACTTTTTATTTCACCTGTTATTCTTATTTCATAATTACTAAAACTAACCTGAATGTCTACATTTAAATATCTGCACAACATATTATTCAAATCAAAAGGTACCTGGTTGGAGGAATCTTCCAGTCTCTGAACCAAAGAATCCCACCTCTGAGTCAGTTCCTCTGAGTCACTGCTGATCTTCTTAGATGCCTTGGGATTATCAAGTAACTGACCCACATCCTGGCCAATCTCACTCAACTGATCCAGTGCTTGACGCTTCATTTCCATGTCTTCCTTCAAAATCTAATATTTCAGATATTTATTAGATGACTCCCCTTTCATTAATCTTCCTGTTCCCCAATTGGAAAATATAAAAATGTATATTTTATAGCAAAATAAACATATGTAGTATGCTAATGCTAAACTATAGGCTCCTGATTCTACATCTTTGCGTGGTGCCATTCTGATGTTAGTTCTATTAACTAAACTGTAATTAATACCAATGAAAACACTTAAAATCACAGGCTTACAACATGGACACTGACAAACACATCACTTACAGCCAGTCGTCGAATACTGACACTTAGTTCCTTTTGGTCTTTGAAGTTACTAGTCTGGACTTTATTTAAAGCGTCTTCTTTCTCAGTTAACCAAGCTTTCAACAAGCACTACAACAAATAAGAAAAATCAGAAATATATTTGGAAAAATCATTTGGCAATTCAATCTAATCAAGATCATAAATCTCTTACTTTGATTTTGCTAAAGGCTTCCTTCATCTTTGCCCGGGGTAAGAAGGATCTCAAACACTGAAGTCTGAGGTATGAATGACCCAGAAAGACAACTTCCTTTAAAATATTATCCTTCTTGGATATGCAACAGATTGACCTGACATTACCCCCATACCTGGGTATGTAAGTTAATTCCCAGGTAGAAATGTGAATTTAAAAGGCTAAAGTCTCTTTAGCCTTTTTCAAGCCTTAAAAAAAAAATAAACACATTATTACTCTCTAGAGGTAGAAGCATGGGAGCTCTGGTAGCATAGTGCCTAAGGCACTTGACTACTAACCAGAAGGCTGGAGGTTCAAATCCACCAGCCACTCCTTGGAAGGAAGGTTGGGCAATCTATTTCCGTAGTGATACCGCCTCAGAAACCCAAGGAGGGGTCGCTATGAGTCAGGTCCGACTCTACGGCACATAAAAACAACAAGAGGTAGAAGCAGCCCTGGCTTGGCTGCTAACCAAAAGGTTGTCAGTCCACACCCACCAGCAGCTCCTTGGGAGAAAGATGTACCTGTCTTCTCCCGTAGGTAAAAATTACAGACTTAGAAACCATATGAGGCTGTTCTACTCTGTCCTATAGGGTCGCTATGAGTCAAAATCAACTCTACAATGAGTTTCGAGGCAAAAGAAAGCTCAGAGATTGCCTTGTCCCAGGCCTTCATTTCAGGGAAGTAGGAGAGAGAGACCACCTGGCTAATCAGTGGCAGAGCCATGTCAAAGATCCCCATCTAAAGGCTAATGTTCTTTCCACTGCATCATGTAGGAAAACCACACTACTGTTAAAGGTTCAAGAGAAACGTCATATGTCCTAGGAAAACACTGGGAGGTGCAGTTTTACTCTGAAATACGTGGGGTTGTCATGAGTCGGAACTGACTCAACATCAGTGCATTGGGTTGGGTTTTCTTTATGATTAATGGAGGTCTGAGGATGGTCCATAGTGCCTAAGGCACTTGACTGATAACCAGAAAGCTGGCGGTTCAAACTCACCAGCCACTCCTCAGAAGGTTGTTGTTGTTGTTGTTGCTGTTGTTCTTGTTGTTATGTGCCGTCGAGTCAGCCCCGACTCATAGCGACCCCTCCTTGGGTTTCCAAGGCAGTATCACTACGGAAGCAGGATTGCCCAACCTTCCTTCCGAGGAGTGGCTGGTGGGTTTGAACCGCCAGCCTTCCGGTTAGCAGGCAAGTGTCTCATCCACTATGCTACCAGAGACTTCCGTAGTGATACTGCCTTGGAAACCCAAGGAGGGGTCGCTACAAGTCGGGTCCAACTGGACGGCACATAACAACACAACAACAACGAGGATGGTCCAAAGCCAATATAAACTCAAAACTCACTGCTGTTGAGTTGGATCCAACTCATCGCAACCCCTCCTTGGGTTTCCAAGGCAGTACCACTACAGAAGTACATTGCCCAACCTTCCTTCTGAGGAGTGGCTGGTGGGTTTGAAATGCCAACCTTGTGGTTAGCAGTCAAATGCCTTAGGCACTACACCATCAGAGCTCCCAAAGCTAATATAAAGATACTTAGACTTCATTACCCAATGAAATGTGTGTTTTTTAAAGATATTAGTAATATAGACAGAGATGATAACCTCAAAGGAAAGGTAGACAACAATGGTGACTGCATTGGGATAATTCATCCCAAAATGTGGAATGTACCATAGAAATTCTTTTCTATATAATTGGGGGGAATATGTTAGTTCTGTGTTTACAATGGAATCAATTCTTTCTCTTTTGTTTGTCATTTGTCAAGTTATTTAAAAGCCATTCTTTGCCTCTGTACTCCACCAAGAAAAAGTGAAGATTAAAAAATCAAAGATAAATATGAATCCTGCCTTCAGTCTAATAAGGCTGATGGAATATGCACATAAATAACAACAGCAAAAGACCAAAGTACAGAGTCTATTAAAAAAAAAAAAAAAAGGTATTGTTAAAATGGGATGGTCATTCCAAAGAAGAAATTACTTCCTGCTGGGCAACAGGGAGATATAAGGATAGGAAGTTACCACCCAGTGACTTCACAGTCCTGGATGGACTGGGAACAGTTAAAAGTGAAGAGATGGGTAAAAGGGCAATCCAAAGAGCTCTGGTAGTGCAGGGCCTAAGGCATTTAACTGCTAACCAGAAGGTTGGCAGTTCAAACCCACCAGCTGTTTCACAGAAGGAAGATGGAAGAATTTACTTCTATAAAGATTTACCAGCTTGGGAACCCAAGGGGGGTTGCTATGATTTGGAATCAATTTAGTGGTGATGGGTTTGGTTTCAATTTTGGTGCAAGATCTTAACAAAATACATTCACCCTTTAAAAAAAAAAAAAACACTATCAGGAATCAACAAGACACCAGGCACTGGGAACCGAGCAGTGGACAAGACAGTACCAGCGCTGCTCTCATTCAATCAGCAATCTCTGAATGGGATACAAACAAGGAAATTTGGGGTGTGAGTGCTGGGTACATGGAGGGATACAGGAAAATTAACATTGGAAAGGTAGGCTGTAGTCTTTTACAAAAAGTCGCAAATGCCACACTTGAAAGTTGGCATATGCTAAAGAAGTTTGGAACTAATTCTCAGGGTCCGTTTCTAACTACATTAATGCTTCTGCAACTAAAGCCCGAGAGATTTTTAAATTCAGATACAGTTTATCTGTCTCAATCCATTCCACAGCAAATTATATATTACGTACCAATATTGACATCAATTCTACATTTTAACAAGATCCCTCCTTCCATATCAACCTAAAAAGTAATTCAAAGGTCAGTTTAAAGTCTTTAAAATGATATAAGCAGCCAAAATAATAGCCACTCCCTAGGTGGTTGTTGGGTTTTGCTTTGTGTTTTTTTAATCACTAAAGCATAACTTTCTAAACGTTTGATTATTTCACTTTGTGGAAGAGTAATCCATGGCTTTCTCTAATAATCAATGTCTCTCTCTGATAATCAATGCCACCTGCTGATGTTTTCACAGCAAAATATTAACTATCCTATGCAACTCTTCAGACTGAAGACAAGATTCCAAGCAAATATAAATATTTGTAAGGTGAAGTATAAATATTTCAGAAATCAGAATCAGTTCCATTATGTGATTCTTAGTAAGAAAATTCTGACCTGAGATTACCACAAAAGTGATTAACAATTTGTATTTGCCCAAATGTTGCAACCTACTTTTTAAGATGTACTATCTGCCACCATGTTTGTTGTTGTTGTTATTTGCCATCGACTCGGCCCCGACTCCTAGCGACCCCTCCTTGGGTTTCTGAGGCAGTTATCACTACGGAAGTAGGCCCAACCTTCCTTCCGAGGAGTGGCTGGTGGGTTTGAACCGCCAGCCTCCTGGTTAGCAGTCAAGTGCTTTAGGCACTATGCTACCAGAGCTCCTACCATGTTTAGTAAACCACAAAGTATCAGACATTTGGGGTTTTTTTGCTTTTTGTTTTTTCCCATCTGAAAAGAATAGCCTTGCTTTTTGGGTATGGAATTGAAATGCATTTAGAAGAATCAAAATGGACACTGAGAAATGGAAATAGAGTATCTTCTCACTTTCTAAACCACAACTGTTTGGAGTTTTGAGAGAAAAGTTTTGTTTGTTTGTATTCTGTTTTGATAGCTTCTTTTCTGCAAAGGTGGAAGGTGGGCAAAGAGCTACATTCTAACTGGAATGGCACAGGTTCATTTGCTATAATAACCCTTAGTGGAAAACAACATACTATTAACAAGTTGAATAAACAGCTCTGCTAAAAAAAAAAAAAAAAACAACAACAACAAAAAATAGCTTTTCATTAATTTCCATACTTATCCTGATTAAAATAAAGAAATATCCATGTGACTTAAGTTCACAATGTATTAAGTGGATTCATTTACTCATTACTTGCTGAGAACAAACCATAAATTAAGTTCTGTGTTGATACAAGTCCAAATACATTATGTAATACAACCCTAATAATTATAATGCTGAACAAACCCTGAAAACAATGTATCTAAGTACTAACATTCCAAATAATGAACGCAGATCAAATTAAGCATTATTATGCTAGAACCATGTAACATGATCTCTACGGATTGGCTGCATGGTCAATTACACCATGGAAAGAAATCTGACTTTTAAAATAATAATAGTTATTTGTACATTTTCCTTTCAAAGAAAAGTAACCAAAGCAACTTTATTCTAATATCATATATAAATATGGATTGCTTTACCATCTCTTTTGCCTATTATGGATAAAAATTTCATACCTGTTCTTCCAGTAATTCTTGCCACAATATATTGATTTCTTGTAACCTATTCCAACGTTCTTCGGTCCAACGGCATACTGCCGTCCAACGCTCACCAAGTTTCTAGTAAAGGAAGAAATTTTCCTTTGTCAATTCAGCCATGAAAGATAGTTACAAGTTCTTTAAAGAAATCTGACTTCCAGTGCTTCTTTATTATAAAATACAAATTATAAAATATATTTTTATAAAAGTTTGCTTTAAAATAATTTGATCTAATCCTATAGCAAGTAGGCATAGTGGCACAGTGGTAAAGCACTCAGCTGCTAACAGAAAGGCTGGCAGTTCAAACCTACCAACCACTCCATGGGAGAAAAATGTACAGTCTATTCCTGTAAGTAAAGATTAAAAAGAAAAAGAAAAAAACCTACTGCCATCAGGTCGATTCCAACTCACAGCAACCCCCACTGGGTTTCCGAGGCAGTAAACCTTTACAGAAGTAGACTGCCCAGTCTTCCTTCCACGGAGTGGCTGGTGGGTTTGAACTGCCACCCTTCTGGTTAGCAGCCAAATGTCTTAGGCACTGCAGTAAAGATGACAGCCTTAGAAATCCTATGAGGCAGTTCCACTCTGTCCCACAGGGTGGCTGTTAAGTCAGAATTGACTCGATGGGTTTGGATTTGGGGTTTAAACCTAAAGTTTTACAGATTATAAAACTACTGTTCACAGATTTTAACTGTTTGTTTCACATCATGTAGCAAGAAGGTGGCACACTGACGCTCTATCCTTATCCTCGATCTCTTGATTTCCAATTCTTGCTCTTTCTACTTCATTGTGGTTTTATTTCAAAATGATATGTAAATATGATATTTTTATATATATCTTCAAAATAGAGCAAACGTATCTACTCTTTATGCTTCACAATTTTAATTATTTTAAAATGTAATTTAAATGCATCAGTTGTGTCTTAATCATCTTTTACAGGTCAAGAAAATTTTCATTGGTAATATCAAAATTATTTTAAACATTTAACCTTATCAAAACTGTATATGAAATAAAAGACAATGTCCATAAAATATGACTAATTGATTTTCTTCCTTGCAGGACACAATTCAAAGAAAATGCCACAGAAATTAGCAAAAGAATCTTACAAGTATCAGCAATACAAAACAAATAAATTTGATGAACTAATTTTTAAAAATCATTCTTCAAGATGACTTTCAAAAAACTAACTTTATTCCCATTTTATAAATAATGATTAACAGAGGTTAAATTTTATTTCTACATTATTTATACGAGAAACAAGTTGTAATTCATACTTATACTATTTTACTCTTTAATACTGGTAAAAGCTTTTAATAGTGGGAAGGGTTGAGAACTCTGAGCCAGAAGACAAGTCTCCATTCCTAGCATGACTGGCACAACCAACCAATGTCCTTAGCTGTTAATCAAAAGTGTGGAGAGTCAAGTTCAGCCACCGGTGCCTCAGAAGCAAGGCCCGATCACCTACTTACAAAGCAGCTACTGAAAACCCTATGCAGCACAGGTCTCTCTGACACACATGGTGGCCATTAGTGAGAATTAACTCTATGGCAACTGATTGGTTTTCACTTAATCTCAGAAAGTTCACTTAACAGTTTCCACACTAGGACAAGACACAAGAGTGTTACAAAATAAAATGGATTTCAGACATTGAAATTATACTCTTCGCAAGTGACTGGAAACTACAAAAGGGCAACACTCTATCAGGCAATCCAGCTACTGCCCGAATGAAAGACCAGTAAATATCTTCATAAACACTGGCAAAAGATACACTGCTGCCTTTTCTGCAGAAACAAGGAATTTTTCAGGGTTCACAAAGATGTTGAAATTTGCACACTGATCTATCAATAAAACAGGAATATTAAATCCTACAGCTGCAATTCTTAAACCTGAGTATGCATTTAACTTTTTTTAAAGTGAACACTAGCTGGGCCTCACTCCTAAGGATTCAGGTCTGGTGTGGTCCAGAGATCTCAACTTAAACAAATTCCTCAAGTGATTCTGATTAAGAGGTCTGTGGACTTCTTGTTGAGATCAGTTCCAGTGCTTCCAAACCTTGTTCACAGTGCTATACACAAGGAAGTTGGGGACTCCAGCCAGCCCCACCCATCCACCCAAGGGCTGAACTGAAGGAGTCATTATCTAGTAGCTCCTTCAATCCATTCACTGCAACTCCCAACTAGAAAGGACAACCTGGGGTAGGTATTCTGCCCTTGTAGATGAACAAAAGGAGTCAGGCTTCAAGGCTACCCAGGGGCACCTTGGAAGAAAAGCCTGGCAATTTACTTCTAAAAAATCAGCCACTGAAAACTTCATGGGGCACAGTTCTGACACACGGGGTCCCCATGAGTCAGAACGGGCTTCACAGCTCCTGGTTTGGTACTGGTTTAGAGAAACCCTGAGACAGACCGTAAAGAATAGGGGCCACACGTCATCAGATCTCAGAGCACAGGTCCCACCAGATTACAAAGGGCTCTTACCTGTAACTGATCTTCAAGGACAGCTGTAGCACTCTCACCACTGTTTTCATCAACAATGACCACCATGTGAGTTAATGAATTTACTTTCACCTGTTCAGTCTCAAGATCATTCTGCAAACTCTACAGGAAAATTAAGATAAGCCATTATTTCCACTCTTCCACATTTACCTATTTAAAATCCACTCAGTTGTCAATAGTAATTAAGGATACTTAATGAGGCATTGCATTTAAACTTCCAATCATTACCCTAAATGTTCTACTAATTAAACAAGCCCGGTATACATCTTCACACTTCATTATGAACCAAAGCACTTTGAAATGCAATGTCATATTATACTGCAAGTGGAATGTCATCACTTATTATTCCAAATTCTAGCCAATTTAAAAAAAAAAAAAAATGTCTCTGTGCAGCATGAAAGAATCAGGTGTCTACACTACGAATTAGGATAAAAATGTAGAATTGGAAAGTCAAGAAAGTCCAGAGTTAGATATACAGTGTCAGAGATCATATTGTCTTATGGAGAACGGTGTTAGTGAGACACGAGTGTAATATGATTGTCAGAAGCTATTCTGACTGGTTACTCAGGAAAGCAATTAAGGATAAATGGTTATCTTCCATTCTCAGCCCTTCCATGGGAAGGTCAAGTCATTAGAAGTGTGTGTGTGTGTGACTGTGTGAGTGTGTGTGTGTGTAACTGATTTAAACACTACCAACAGTGCTGTCAAATCTCTCTGAAGTTGTGTTTAATGTATCCCTAAAGCTTTATTTAGGAGTCCCTGCATGGCACAGTTAAGTGTTTGACTACTAGCTGAAATGTTGGGGGTTTGAACCCACTCAGAGGTAACTCAGAAGACAAGCCTGGTGATCTACTTCTGAAAAGTCACAGCCTTGACAGCCCTTATGGAACAGTTAGTTCCACTCTGCACACGTGGGGTCACCAGGAGTCAGAATCGACTCAATTGCAACTAGCAACAACAACAAAGCTTTATTTATTGGTTATCACCAAAATTCAACCATTCAAACCATTTGCAAGGAAGTATTATGGAAAGCTATTTTCGAAACTAGTGACCAAAGTGAACTGTCCATCAAATTTTGGTCCTGCAACTAGTTCCTGATGCCTTTCTGGATCGGAGAAGCAGCAACAGCGTCTGAAAGCACTAGGTGCAGGTAAAGCTCAGTGTTGGCTCACACACCATATTGATGCCAACACATCTTCATAGGGCCAAGAAAACCCTGGAGAATCTGTAAAAGCTATGTGCTTCCCCAAGAAAACTGTCCATAGCCACATAAAATTTGATCTGCACTTTCGTCCCTGACTCAGAAAAGTCACAGTGCCATCAACTGCCCCTTAGGAGCTGCTGAGTACAAGAGGACACTGAAGAACCGTCCCACCTCTACACTAATGATAGAAGTCATCAGCCCTGAGAATGCTAAGTGCTGCTTTTTCATATTTGATAAGGGATGAAAGAAATATGAGGCAGATTTACTTTATGTTCTTCCAGCAGCTTCTGTATGGATTGTAAATCATCGTCCAGGGGGCCAGTTTCCATCTTTTGAATGCGTTCTTCTGTGAGTGTTAACCAGGCAGAGAGCTGCTCCAGCTGCTGCTTCTGCAGTTCCATCAGCACGTCATGCAGCCTATCCGCGGGAGAAGACAACATTATCCCCACCAGCTTCTTTGCCTTTCCCAAGGCAAAGATATAATCCAGGCCCCAAGAAAATGGGGCAAGGGAATGCACTCTCGTCTCACCAGTTAAAGCTGCATATAGACTTTAACTAGAGAAACCAGGAAAAATACTATTATTTATTCCAAAATGAAGCCAGTTAAAAGCAGCCAAGGAATGCCAATAAACAGCACCCTTTATTCATAGCAGAATCATTGTTTCTCCAATCAGGAATTCCTGTTATAAAATAGGTGGAAACTGCAATGGAACACAGTTGGCTCCTTAATGCACAATACATGGAATAAAATGATCCGTGGGAGAAAAGCTGCTTCAAAAAGTGTTTCCAAGGATTGGAGGTCAAAACTACTACCTAGTCCCACCGTCATGCCAAGTTCATAGCGAGCCCATTTGGAGTGCAAACAGACAATTCTTCCTATGAAACGTCTTGTTCCTTTTGCCAATCTCTGTATTCCAACTTTCATCTTTTGGTTTAGTTCACACATCAAAGGGGAAACAAAGATCATAAAACATTCCAACAACATCGCAAAAAGAAGAGAGTCAAACTTATACAAGGTGAGCTCAGTAATGGTGGCGTTTTCACCAACCGCGACTTCTCCTTGAGCGACACTGTACAGCGCCACCTCCAGGATGTTGTTTTCACAGACTGCAGAGTTCTACTAGCGCGACGCTGTACAGCGCCACCTCCAGGACAAAGTCCTCACTTCCTTGCCTCTACTCACCGAGATTGCCTCTCCATACTGTCCACCCGAAGCGCCTCCCATCTCGCATTCAGCAGGGTCATCTGCTCCTGAATCTCAAACTCCTCTTCCTGGGTCAGAGTTCCTTGTGTGATGAGCTGGTTTCCCGCCTGCAGGACACTCCCCACGCTGCTCTGGTGTGCAGTCAACTCCATCATAAATGCCTGGAAGGGGGCATTATCAGGATGCGTGAGCCACTCATTGGAAAAAGAAAAAAACTCAATAAATTGTTAATGCCAAAATATCAAGGCTACTGAAAAAGGTCGCCTCTTACAGTGCAGACAAAGTAGATGGGAACCCAAAGCGTTAAGTGCCAGAAACAGGAAACAAGTGCCTTGCATCAGTAAAGCAGGGACTAGATAGGTCAAGGGAACAACATTTCCTGTAACACCTGCGATCTTCACATAAATGCTGATGATGCTTCTTAGAGGTTGTGACTGTCGTGTTAATAGGTACATATAACAAATAAAACACCATGCACACACAAGAGAAACTACTTGGAAAATATTACCATTTTCTATTATTTTTAAAATAAAATTGCATATAAGATCAATTAACATACTGGTACAAAAAACTGTCTAGTCAAAAAGAAATCTCTATATAGTTATATTCACCCACCAGCCACTCCTCGGAAGGAAGACTGGGCAACCTACTTCCATAGAGATACCACCTTGGAAACCCAAGGAGGGGTCACTATGAGTCAAACCCACTTGATGGCAGTGAGTTTGGGTTTTTTGGTTTGGTAGCAAACTGTATCCTCAATATAGTTACGAACGTTCATTATATAAAGTCATATGGCAACAATGAGTAAGGTATTTGTTTAATGATTCCATAAATAAAACTAATCACTTCCTGGCTAAGACTCAAAGCTCTGAGATTGGGTATATTGATTGGTCATTTTGTTTTTTAACTATAACAGTACACTTCCAAAGTGAGCTGCCCTAGGCATTGACTTTTACCAGTGGCTCTTCAAAATAAACAAGTTACAATAAGATGAGGATCCTGAATCTAATTCCAAACACACAGTTAATTACCCACTTCAATTGTAAAACAAACAAAAAATCTTGTTGCTGTCAAATCAATTCTGACTCATAATGACCATATAGGACAGAGTAGAACTGCCCCCATAGGGTTTCCAAGGCTTTGCAGAAGCAGACTGCCATATCTTTCTCCTTTGGAGAGGCTGGTGGGTTTGAATCACTGACTATTCAGTTAGCAGCCAAGAGTTTAACACCACTGCACTTCCAGGGCTCGATTTTAAAAACAAAGGCTGATTTAAACATCACAAGTTCTAAAATATGGCAGGGTCTCTCCATGGAACATAATTCAGTAAACAGCAAACACCAGGGTATATCCTCTGCACTAAGGCACAGGTACCACAGTAGACCTCTGCAGCTCATGCTCATCAATCCCAGATATTTACTTCATGGGTTGCAAACTGGTCTTTGACTTCTTCAACATCATCAGAAATGTCATCCTGCTCCTGGAAGGTGTCCTCTGCAGAGAGTAACCAGGTCAGCACTTCCTCCAGTGCTATCTGATAGCTGTCCAGATCCATGTCAACCTCAGTGACGGTGCTGGGGGTTTCAGCTCGGGCACGCTCACGCTCCTCCTCTGGTGCTGTGCTCTACAAACACAAAATAAAGAAAAACCCAGAGTATTCCTGAAGATAAGAAAAATAGTCAACAAAGACAAACTATATGAAGAAACCCAAGGCAGGCACCACTGAGTCTTAGATATTACTCTAATTCCCAGGCATCCAGTGGACTGCACAATGAATTGTTGTTGTTTGGTGCCATCAAATTGACTTTGACTCATACTGACCCCATGTGACAGCGGTGACCTGCCCTACTGGGTTTTCTAGGCTATCACCTGTACAAGAGCAGACTGCCAGACCTCTGTCCAGCAGAGATGCTGGGGTGGGTTTCAATTGCCAACTGTTTGCTTAACAGCGTAGAGCTTAATTTCTGTGCCACCAGGGCTGTGCTAGCATGGCAAAAGTTAGGGCACTGGTGGCCCAGTGGCAGAATTCTTGCCTCCCACGCTGCAGACATGGGTTCTAGTCCATGCCAATGCATCTTAGGCATAGCCATCCCCCACCTGTCAGTGGAGGCTTGCAGACCACTCTGATGCTCACAGGGGCTCAGCAGAGCTTTCAGACTACAACAGACCAGCAAGAAAAGCCTGGTTATCTACTTCTAAAAATCTGCCACTGAAAACCTATATATATATCAAAACCATCTGATCTGCAATTGATCATGAGGTGTAAGACTGAGCAATATTCGTCCCACTGTGCGTGGGTTCACCACACGTCAGGACCAACACCATGGCAGCTAACAACAACGATACCAAATGAAACCCACTGCCAGTGAGTCAATCCCAGCTCATAGTGACCCTATAGGACAGAGGAGAATTGCTACATGGGGTTGCCAGGGCTGTAAATCTTTGTGGAAGCAGACTGTCTCATTTTCTCCCATAGAGCTGCTGGTGGATTTGAACCACTGACCTTCTGGTAAGCAACTGAATGCCTTAACCACTATACCACCAGAGCTTCTTTAATAACAATAGGATGGCAAAAAGAACAAAAGCAGCATGTACTCATGGATTCTCCTACTCCCAGAGATTATAAGATACTTGGGGAGAGAAAAGAGCCCACATGGATCACTTCTGAACTAAAATAAAATGGCTATTAGCAAAGTTATAAATCCTGTCATTCCAACAAAAGATGCTATTTGAGTTCATGAAGGGCTGAAACAGTAAAGCAAGTGTCATTGAGGAGCTGAACATGTCGAGCCTTGAAGGATGGATGTGGTTTAAAGAAGCAGAAATGGAGGTCAGAACTCTGCTTTGACTTCTACTTAAAATGCTTTTATTGGATTGCATTTTAGCATTGCATTTTAGGCACTAAAAGGCAGTCAACACAAACAGACTGTGGTGCTGATGATATTTTCTTGAGGCAATTGCCATACAGTTTTACTTGTTGGTCCTTGTTTAAGGGTCCACAGAATAAATGCATTTCAAGGTCTTTCTACACAATTGAAGTATTTCCTTTTATACTTTGGAATCTTACAACCAATTCAACCATCTCTCCCTTTCAGAGCAAAATTTCTTTAAAACTTAACTCTCTCCTTCCTCACCTTTCATCCACAAAGTTTAAATAGGATACTTCAAGTAAATAGAAATTATAGAGATTGTATTTTTAAATGTATTTAACAGCTAAAACCAAACTCACTGCCATCGGGTTAGATCCACTCATAGCGACTTCTCCTTGGGTTTCCAAGGTGGTGGTGATGGTTGGTGGTGGTGTTGTTTGCCAAGATGGTATCTCTATGGAAATAAGATTGCTCAATCTTCCTTCTGAGGAGTGGCTAGTGGATTTGAACTGCCAGCCTTCTGGTTAGCAGTCAAATACCTTAGGCACTGTGCCACCAGAGATCCAGTGTATTAACAGCCACAGTGTATTAACACTTCCTCTCATCCTGATCTGGTAGCTTAGTGCCTAAGGCACTTGACTGCTAGCCAGAAGGCTGGCCGTTCAAACCCCGCAGCCACTCCTCTGAAGGAAGATGGGGCAATCTACTTCCGTAGTGATACTGCCTCAGAAACCCAAGGAGGTCTGACTCAACGGCACATAACAACAACTCATCCTAACCTAGCATTCAACCCCACCACTCAACTGAAGAGTCTTCTCACCTTTTTCAAGGTGACCAATAAGCTTCCCATTGAGAAATCTACTTTTTGACCATCACCTTTTAAGGTGACTATATAATTTACTAACAACCTGGAACACTGCTAAGAACTATTATCAGTAATATGTGTTAGGACAACAGACATGAATCAGAACTGTCCTGAGCAAACCCAGAGAGCAGTCGCCCTGGCTTCCTCACTTAATCTCTCAGCAGTATCCCACATGCCTGACCACGCTCCCACTTCTAGAAAGTTTCCCTGCTCAGTAACACCACATCCTCCTGGTTCTCTTATTAGCTCAATAGTAGCTGCCAACTTGTTAATAAATCTCCTCAAAGTTAAGTCCTGGGCTCTCTTATCTTCTTTCTGTGTACTTCTCCTGCGTGATCTCATCTCTTCTTGAAGAAGTTAAGGAAGTAGCCATATCCTGCAGACTTTCAACTTTACGTCTCCAGTCACAAACTTTCTTCTGGATATCCAACCACTGTAACATCTCCATGTTAGTGTCTCATAGATAGATCAAACCAAGTCCGTATTTGAACTCTCTATTTTTCTCCCAAATCTGCTCCTTTCTAAGCTTCCCTATCTCAGTCAATGGCACCTAGAAAAAAAAAAAAAAACTAAACCCACTGCCACTGACTCAATTCCTACTCATGGTGACCCTAGAGGATTGAACAGAACTGCCCTATGAAGTTTCCTAGGCTGCACTCTTTACAGCAGCAGACTATCATATCTTTCTCCCACAGAGCAGCTGGTGGATTTGAACTGGCAGCCTTTCAGTTAGCAGCTGAATGCTTAAGCACAGCATCACGACCTCCAGGCACCTAATCACTCAAGCTAAAAACCCGAGCCAGCTTTGGTTCCTCTTTCCTTTACCTCCTACATTTAATGTGTAAGCAAGTCCTCCCTTCAAACTTTATCCCAAGTCTATCCAGACCTTCCCATCTCCACAACGAGGAGTGACTCTCATCTGCACTACCACAAGGGCCTGCTAACAGGCTTTTCTACTTCTTTTGACCACCCACACTCCAAATCCATGATCCATTTTGTCACACAGCTGCCAGAACAATCTTCTGAAAATGTAATTGTACCCTAAGACTTTCCTGTTTAAAGCCTTTCAATGCCTTTCCAATGCTTTTAAGGTGTAATTTAAATTTCTTATCATCATTAAGATAACGCTGTTGTTGCTATATGCCGGGTGGAGTCACAGTGACTCATAGTGACCGTCCTTGGGTTTCCGAGGCAGTATCACAAAGAAGGGGAGCTCTGGTAGCATAGTGGCTAAAGCACTTGACTGCTAACCAGAAGGCTGGCGGTTCAAACCCACCAGCCACTCCTCGGAAGGAAGGTGGGGCATACTGCCTCGGAAACCCAAGGAGGGGTCGCTATGAGTAGGGGCCGACTCGACGGCAAACAACAACAACAACATCACAAAGAAGTAGATTGTCCCATCTTCCTTCTGAGGAGTGGCCGGTGGGTTTGAACCACCAGCCTTCTGGTTAGCAGTCAAGTGCCTTAGGCACTACACTACCAGAGTTCCCTAAGATAATAGTTACCTCTGAAACATAATAAGAAACCATGTGTATACTGAATGTGTGCATGTCTTGTGTGTGTGTGTGTGTGTGTGTGTATAGTGTTGAGTTTTGACAGTTATGAGAGTAAACTTTTCTGAAAAGATTTTATTTAAACTGAGGATGGAAGGGAAGCTTGACATCCATAGAGTAGGTGGGAAGCAGTCCAGAGAAAGATACCAGCAAGTACAAGAACCTCAGTGAAGAAGAAAAAGTCCACTGTGATTACAGTGCAATTGCCTTAAATGAATGCAAGTGGGGTCTTATAAAATTCAAAAGAAGATGAGGTCTTTATTGAGTATGAAAGCTGGAACAAAAAGAAAGCACACAAAAGACATTCTGAAGGAAGAATCTAGAGGACCTGCTAGGAAAAAAATGAGTCACTGGAAACAGTGGCTAATTAAGAGCACAGACAGAGCCAGACAAAGAAAGGAAAAAGAGTTAAGTTCTAGACCTAAAATCCTGCAACTGGAGCCAAAATCACACTGGAGATAACTTAGTGCCAAACCTCTATATTATAAATGAGAACAGCTGAGGACTAAGAAAGGTGAACAAAGGTGACTTAGTTAGGCACCCCCACCTATGAGGAGAGAGATGAAAGGTGTTATCTGAATGCAAATGTTCAGAAGGTATTAGTTAAAACAGATGAATGGACTTTCCACTAAGAGATATATAAGGAGAAATGCAGCATTAGCTGCTGAATACCTAATGCTAACCCAGCCCACATCTCTAGAGAGGTGGGCTAGCTATTAGGGATCACTGGAGGGCGGAGATGGCAGGCTCTGTCAAAAACAGATGATGAAAACTTGATCACATTTCCCTCTTCAATTAACTTAATCCAACCTCTAAGGCATTAACGAAAGCATGCAAATGAAGAGGGTCTTGTTAACCTTCATCAAACAGCAAATAGTTTCTCTAGTTCCTATCATGGCACCCTAAGCCTTAAACAGAAGCTTTTTCTTTTTGAAAACACATCATGAAAGGCAAATGAAGTCTTCCTCCTTGTTTTGTTTCTGTTTGTTTCAAAAGAGAATAGCCTTAACTATAAGAAGTCAGATGTCCCATCTTCATAAGATTCTAACAAAAACAAAAACAAATAAAGGATTCTAAAACCAAAAGGTAAAACCCAGAAGGCTACCTGGGCTATCCAAAGGATGCACCATAATCCAGGATAACAACTGAACAAAGATGTTTCCATGCAATTTTTCAGGCAATTTTAAGAGGCTAGTGTTCAGCATAGGAGGAGCTCTGGTAGCATAGTGGCTAAAGCACTTGACTGCTAACCAGAAGGCTGG